CTGATTACAGCTTAATCAATACTTTCCTGCTATATATCAAGCTATCTCTCTATTTCCTTCATACTGCACTCCTATATATCCTTTACTAGCTCTCCTGCTACTATTCTTCAAAACTCATATTTTTCTTCTATTCCCTTTCACTCTTTCAGATCTCAACAAACAATATAGCAGCTTATCAATTAGTACTCATAATATCTGGAAATAAAGAAAAGAAGCCTGCTATAAGCACTGACTTTCCAGTTCCCTCTTTCGAAGAAGCGCAGGCCTAACTGCTCTCAGGCAGTAAGCAGATGCAGGCCCGTCCTGCTAGCTCCTCTCGCTTTGCCTCAGTTCCTTCTCAGCAAACTAACCCCTTTCAAGCTGCAGCTAATGATATCATGAAGAATATTAATAAGCAAAGCGAACAGCGCTATACTACGCTAGCAGGAAAGGCCTGATCAGTTCTGCAGATACCTGCTCCATCCGCTTTCAAAGCTCTTTCCCAACAACACCAGAAGATTATAGCAGATCTCAGCTGAGTAATTATGAACTCTGTAAACATTAATTACCCATCTGTTAAGAATACCCTGCTAGCTAACCGCCCTGATTACTTCGATGCTGAGCTAGCTTATCCGTCAGAAGCAAGAGCAATCGAGCTCTTTAAGCACTACTTTCCTAGTATTCACTTTCACTCTATACTGCGCAACTCTGATTAGAAAAGCTCGAATCTGAAGACTGAAAAGCTTAGTAGAATCTACTGGGTTTATACAGCTTTAACACTATACGATGTTAAGAGTTTTATCCTGCAGCGCAAGCAGCTTACAGACTCAGCGCTGATGAGCCTGATTAGATGTGAAAAATGGGGCATATTTAACCCTAACCCTCTGTTTTAGTCTCCTCATAAACCATCTCAGAGCTTGGTTTAGTTACTTAGAAGATCTTTCTTTTGTATTAGATAAATTCAATCTCAACACTCATTCAGCCACTTCCACGTGCTCAGCTCATACGTTTCTCCTTAGTTATGAGCCCGGTTCGCAAGAATCGGGTTTAATCTTCCCCTTATCTATCGAAACAGACTGAGCTGTTCACTTCTTATTCTTTCAGAACACATCTTTTGTTCCAAACAGTCATACTCACGCTCCATCAAAGCCCACGATGGAGCGCGAATCTGACGACTTCACGCTCTCGGTAAAGTGCACCGATACCTACTCCTTTCCATCCTGGTACAGCATTTTGCAGTCCCAGAGCAAGAGAAAGGGTGTTTGGAAGTACCTAGATCCGGATAGCTCAGATGCACTCTTTCTCGAACCTGAAGACTTCGATCTCGAGTTCTCCAAGTTCACTCAGAATCTTGAGAAGAAGTGCAAAAACACTATAACGGAGAACTACAAGCTACTCTCTATCCAGGAACAAGCCATTCTCTATAATCAGAAGATGAAACGCTTTCAGCTTTATTAAAACAAGTAGTTGCATGCTTATTAGAATATACAGAGGATGTAGAATTGGATTCAGAAAACAGTATCTCTATCAGTTCTCATTCCTTATATGCATACCTATCCAGGAAAGAAGTCTCCCTCAATTCAACAGATGCTTAGGAATCTGAAGAAAGATCTCTGTCCGTCCAAGGAGAGCATGAAACAGATCGTTCGCCTCCAGTACTGCTATCACCTTAAGCTAGCTACCAGGCAAGGCACCGATTTCCAAAACTAGTGCTAGCAGCATTAGGATCTTCTGAATCTAGCTCGGATTTACAGTATTAACGAAGTTAAGAGACTTCAGAGCTCTGATAACTTTCTTGCCGCTATCAGAGTTCGCTTCCAGATAGAGTAAGCCAAAATGCAACAATATCTTCTTACTATAGCATCTGATAATAGTCTGCTTATCAAGACTATTAAATAGCTTTAACGAAATCTCGCTTCAATTCACCAACTTCAGCCTGAGCAGAAAAAAGGCTCAATAGTGTTCGCTACTATAGGCGGAGAGAACCTACAATCCAGCAACTCAGGCATAAAATCTGGGAAGAAATAAGGTGAATCTTCCAGCTAGAGCGAAAAGAAAGATTACAAGTGCCCCTGCAAATCGTATCAAAGAAAGCATAAATGAGGCCCTATAAGCTGCGGAAGGCTGGAGTACGCCTATACCGGAGTTAAGCTAGATTCAATCTTCAAGGCTTTATCTAATGAGCAAAGAAAGAAGATCCTCTCTAAGCTAGCCAGCAAAAACTATTAGAAGCTCTATTCAAACCTTATCAGAACTGGATAGCTTTCTCAAGACTGGATAAAGAGGATTCTATAGAGAATGAAGAATAATAGGAATCTCTATCCAAGCACTATCGAGTGCTAGAATCTCTCAATTATAATATTAAAATGCTAGATCTAATATTCTTCAAGCTTGAAACAAAGCATTCTTAATTCCTTTAAATAAATGCTATCTTTAATCCTCAATTCTTCAATTAAGCAGTATTGCTATAAGTAAGCATAGCAGTCTTCTTAATACTGTTTCAGATATCTTATATTCTTTCTCAAAGCATAATTCTGAATAACTATGAAGCTGTATATCTTATTAATAGCATTAATCTCCTGAAGCTAAATATCTTTTCTCTCTTAAGGGATGCAGAAGTTGTAAAAGCAAGAAGCTTATCATTACTAATATAAGGATTCAGGAAACAATGCTTCAAAAATGCACTGAATAAGAAGCAAAGAGAATATACTGAAAACCTAGTTCTTAACTGTATAGCAGTTGTAGATAGCTTCCATATTAATATAATTGCTGAAGCTTTCTTATACGAGAAAGGGATCTAGTATTGTAGCAAAGATAGCATACTGTGCTCAGAAATGCTTGAATAGAGCGCAGTAATTGCAAATCTATATAGAGAGTTCAACTTAGTTTTCTTCGAATACATTCCTTTTGCAAACTCTTCCTACTCTCGAGCTCTAGCTACACTGCTATACAGCTAAGCTAGCATTCTTGTATTCTCAATTCTAAAAAGAAACAAGCATTCTCATTCTTCATATGATGAAGTGTCTGAAAGAAGTGATTTAGAGCATCTTTAGCATCTAAGATCGGGATACCTGGATGCCAATGCTCTGAAGAAGCTTATCTACTCAGTTCGTAATGTTAGAATCAACGGAACTAGATGAATTAACTGTGAATACTGTGCTCTAGAGCGCATTACAAAGGTTATTCAACGTGCAAGATCTGAATATTATAGCTCTTAACTGTTCTAACGTATTAGTTAGAATCTTCTCGATTATAATGAAGTATAGAATAGCTCAAAATGAGCTCTTATACTCAAAGATGAGTATAGTAGCAAGTTGTTTGCTTTTCCAATATCTAATAAAGCACAATCTACAGTGTTTGATGTGCTTAGGTTATTCGAAACTTAGGTATAATGCTAATATCGCTTCTTCATTTGCAAAATCAGACAGAATGCAGACTCCTCAGTTATAAGAAAGCTATACGAAACAGTATATATACAATAGTGTGCTAACAACAGCATCGATCTGAAAGTTACTCTACTGCATACGAAAGAATTAAATAGCGCTGCTGAGCAAGCTGGGCGTGAAATTCAGAAGCATGCGCTAGTCCTCCTGTTATCAGCCAAACTACCGAAAGATCTATGGCTAGAGTGTGTGAAAGCAGCTACCTAGCTGTTCAACATCTCTCCATCCATGCTCAAGCACTCCGAAATGCCAAATTCACTTCTGAATAGCTAGTTCAGACAGTACTTTCATTGATATGCGCTAGAAATAGTTAGAACAGCAATCTTGGATTTACAGCCCAACTAAGCCAGAATCTATACATATAAATACTGAGTATACATTCTGCAAAAAGAGCATAAACTTAGCTCTTATAAACAGAATATGAAAACAGAACTAAGAATATATAAGAGCTATCTTGTAGAATACATTGCAAGCAATCTGTACTGCATATAGCTTCCAGCGCTTGCAAGAGTTGCAACTATGCACAATATTCTATTCAATAAAAGCCAATTCTACAATCCAAACAGCAGTAAGGCATTAGAAGCATTATCTCATATTCAGCTAGCACTAATCATTCCAGAGATTAGAAATAATAAGGAAATCATGAATACAATCATTATTAGAAGTATATGGAATCCAGTTTTCTAGCTTAATGCTATAAATCGAAACCAAGGATCTTATCCGCTGTTCAATGAGAACAGTAGCTCATTCTCAGAGTTTCTCTCGGGAGGCATTTCGAGTTGGAACTCGGAGGTAAGAGTATCTGAAACTAGCAATGGAGCGCTTTTGCAAAGCAATCCATCCTAGAGAAGAAGCTCAGGGGATAAGGTGCAAGAATTTCCAACTTCTGAAAAATCTCTTGAAGTATCGGAATGAACAAATCAGCTAGAAAGAAGCGCTGCTGCAAGCAGCAAGGATGTTTCAGCAACTGAATAAGCATTTTCAAGTACTGAATAACAAGCTATCAGCATATCTACTGCTCAGGATACAAGCTAGCCTGCAGTGCAAGAATATGAGCCTGATCAAGCTTTAACTAGATGTTATCAAACAAAGAATGAGATCTATGAATCTCAACTCATATAGCATTCAAACAGAATACAGAAACTAATTGATAAAGCTTGCTAATACCAAGAGTTATTCGCCACAGCCTTTATAACAAGCTAAATAGCTCTAGTAAATCTTATAGCTATTTTTTTGCCTGATCAGCTAAAGAAAGCAATCAGAACATGGAATAAGCGTTTTCAAACCATATACAGTATAGTTGCAGCTGCTATACTTGAGGCAAACTCTATATACAGAGAAGCCTTGCACTTGCAGCGAAAGCACTTTGATGCTCCTCAGCAAATCACAGAGCTAGCAACAGCTGAAAAGAAGCATCATAAACAACTACCACCCGAATCTGGAATCTGGAAAGAAGCATGAAACAGTTCTTTTCACACCAAGTAGTGGAAAGCAATGCAATCAGAAATCCAGAGACTAGTCAACAAAAGGGTATAGCAGATCCTCGAGTATGGAAAAGCTAAAGAGAAACTACTGCTACTCAAATGGATATACAGATACAAACTTGATAAGAATAGTTACTTAACTTCATTCAAAGCTCGAATCTGTATACAAGGAAATCTGCAAAAAGCAAGCAATCTTCAAAATACGTATGCAGCAACGCTGGCTGTACGCTCCTTTCGCATACTTATAGCTGTAGCAGCATATTTCGATCTAGAGATCAACTAGATGAATATTATCAGAGCATTCCTGAATACTAGCAAGGAAAGCTAGAAAAGCGTTTTCTATGAGCTGCCTGATGAATTCAAGGAGAAAGAGAAAATCGTGCTCCTGGAAAAGGCACTGTATAGCCTGAGGAACTTGCCAGTACTCTGGTACAAGTACTTCTGCTCAATTCTGCGAAATCTCGGCCTTATGCTCTCAACTGAAAAGCTCTGCATATTTATCAACAAAGCAAACAAGCTGATCATTCTGTTCTATGTAAACAATATTCTGCTGTTCTATTCGCAGAATTAGGCATCAAAGATATGCAGAGTAAAGGAAGGGATCTTCGAAGCATATGAGATAAAGGATTAGAAAGCAGCGGAATAGTTCTTGGAAGTTCGAATCATTAGAAACAGAGCTAACTGCATGATTAGCCTGATCTACAATGCATATATTAAGAAAATAGCTAACAAGTTTAGCCTTGCAGCTAATACAGCTTTAATACTTCCAATGCTTCTGGATCTTGGAAAGCTTGTTAAATGGAAAGGGGAAGCATTAAAAAACCAAATCAAGGAGTATTAGGAGAAGATTGGATTGATTCTGTATACTGCTATTATAATAAGACTAGATATAGCTTTTGCATGCATTCTTCTCTTCAGATTTTTAACAAATCCAGAGCCAAAGCATTTAGAACAAGCAAACAGAGTAATCTATTATCTATACAGGATAAGATTTCTGGCAATCTAGTATAGAGAAAGCTACTCTAAAGCTTAAGCTCTGCTAATTGCTAGAGATGCTTCCTTTGCTAACAATACGGAGAACTGAAAATCCTTACAAGGATATATCTTCAGCTTATTTGGAGATTCTATACAATGGAAAGCAATAAAGCAAAGCCTGATAACTATCTTAATCATAGAAGCTGAACTATACGCTCTCTCAGCTACAGCTAAGGAAATGATTGCCTTACAATGCCTCTTTCGAGACCTCATCTTGAATCTCAGCAAGCTCTGGAATATCTTCTATAATAATCAACAAGCTATACAGCTGGTAGTTACAGAGCATAAAAGAATAAATACAAAGCTCCGCCATGTAGATATATACCAAATATAGCTCAAGCAGAAGTTTCAAAAGAGCAAATTTCAGATCTCATATATGCTAATACAGAGCATGCTAGCTGATGAACTAACTAAGAATCTCAATCAAGCGCAGTTCGAACACTTTAGAGCGCTTCTCAATCTTCAGAATATCAGCTATACCTTGAATCAGAAAACTAAGAAGGAATCTAAAGGAATACAGATAAGCAATTCGATCTTATATTAGCTCCTTTTGAATGCTTTTAATCACTGAATTTCATTTATTAAAATCAAAAACAAAAGCTTATAGCTCAGAAATATCATTCAGAAACACACAAATCAAGCATGCAGCCTTCATCAAACAACGAACCAAAGAACTTAATTACAAAAAAAAACCCAATTATTCACCAAAGCCTAGAGCACACCTAAGCCTGAACAAGGCTTACTCCTTAGGTAAGGAGTGAAGAATAGCCAGCACTGCTTCAATATCAGCTTTAGCTTTCTCATACTTCAGATGCTATTCACAGTAAAACTCAATAGAATAATCATCAACAGAGTGCGAAACAGACTGAATAGCAGCTTATTTTTCCTTCTTCTTAGCTGAAACCATAGCTTTCCCCTCCTTAGCAGAGCATAAAACTGCTTCCTTACAATCAGCTTCCTGCTTAGCAAGAAGCATATTACGCTCTTCCGTAAGCGCCTCAATCTGCTTCTGCAGCTCGTCAACCTCCGAGAACTTGCCCGCCTCAAAATGCTCAAGAGCAGCTTTCTAAGCCTATACAGCATGCTTGGATCGGATTTCCAGAGGAGCAAGGTTAAGAATGGAGTTTTCCTTCTCCACTCCAGCATGCGTTCTTTTCTTCGAGAGCGTAGGAGTATTCATCTCCTCAGCAGAAGCAAGCATATGCTTAGCTATATAAAGCTTGTTTACAAAAAGCATGAGATAGAAAGGAACTGAAATATACTTGTAATCCTTCGAATACTAAGCATAGCAAGCAGCAGATAAGTTTTTCTGGTTGTAATAGGAATTATTAGAGCTGCTTGCAGCTAGACTCTTAATACAGCTAATATATGGAACATTGCGAATAGCACTCCAGGAAGCATTGTTTTAGCTCTTCGAGAAATCTGCAGTGGGAATACTGGAAGGGGTAGCTACTGGAAAAGTCTTTTTAGCTTGCAACTAAGGAGTTCTCAACTTGGCAGCATCTCTAGCAGCCACATCGAGGCGCTCCTGCTAAAGCTCCTGCATCAACGCATCCTGAAACCTCAAACGAGCCATATTCTGCTTGGTAACAGGCTTTGTTGCAACTGGCTCAGAACTTGAAAGGCTACCGGAAGCCTGAAAAAGAGTCAGCTAGGTAAACATTGAAAGAAAAAGCAGTGCGAACCTACAGTCTTGAGCGCTTCCTGAAGAAGCACAGAGCTGTCTTTATCATCATCATTATCATTATCGATAAACAAGCTAGAAATCCTTGTAGAATCAGCATCAGAGCGCTTGGAAAGATTAATACCAACTGAATCGGAAGCATCATCGACTGAAGAATGCAAAATCAGAGTATCAGCACGAGCAGCAGACAACTCAATTGGAGCTTGAGAACTTGAAGCAAGCAGGCTAGACTGCTGTTCCTAGAAATAAGAATAATCAGTTCAGCTCATACTAATCCCTAAGCAGCTCTTTCTATACTCATATCAGAAAGAGGATGCTAATCAGCAGTTGGAATCAAAACAAGCTGAACAGAGCTTGCGCTCTTCTCTGTAGCTATCGAGGAACCACTATGCAACTCAGATATACTAGCAGGGAAGCTGGAGTTTGTACTCAAGGGATCTTCATTAGTCTCCACATCGGGAGAAGGACTAGAAGAAGCTACATGGATCTCGCCCTCAGCAGAGTTGCTGTTATCGGAAACAGCTATACTGAGCTTGCTAAGAGGGACAGAAACATCAGACTCGCCTAACGAGAAATCTGGAGTGACTAGAAGAGGCATATTAATGCGCGGAGGCTTTCAAAAACCTTGAAAACAGATGGAAAAAGAGCTAATTGAAAAAGAAAGAGGACTGAAAGGAGGCAAGGTGACTGTAAAACGCGCCTACATAAGCTTAAACGCATCTGCAGGAACCTTACAAAAAACCCACTTTTCTAGCACATCTGACCAGTCAGATGGGGAGTGTGTGAAAAATGGAGCATATTTAACCCTAACCCTCTGTTTTGGTTTCCTCATAAACCATCTCAGAGCCTGGTTTAGTTACTTAGAAGATCTTCCTTTTGTATTAGATAGATTCAATCTCAACACTCATTCAGCCACTTCCACGTGCTCAGCTCATACGTTTCTCCTTATTAGATAGCAGCTGATAGATCTAATCTTGCAGGTATGAATAACAAATTGATTCTTCGACTTTACAAGCTAAAAGGTTTCTCACTTCCAAGGGAAATACGAACCAGGAATACACTAAGCAGTCTTCCCCTATCTTTGCAATAACTACTAGTTTGTTACAATCTACAACTACTATCAATATGCTATTCAAATGCTTAACTTCTATTATCATAAGAATCCTACTATGCAAAAGAAAATTATTTAGATAGTAGAGCAGCATCTAATTATTATAAAGCAGCAGCTAGCAAACAAGATTCTAGCTTACTAGCATGTGCAGATCTGTATGCAGAAGAATGAATAGAGCTATAGCTTGTATATAGCTAACAATCTACGCTTTTTCTTTCAGAAGCCTGATAAGCAGCAGAATAATAGCTAGTTCATAGACTGGCGGAACTTAGCATTATTTCAAAATGCTAATACTGATATCTCGCTTCAGCAATATATTGAGAAAGCCTTTCTCATTGCTATCCGATCAGAGCTGAGCAGGGCAAATAGAGTTCTACAACAAGCTGAGTTCCTTAGAAGAAGCTTAGATCAGTAAAGAGCAGAAAGAGGTATTAAGAGCTTTGAAAGCATACAGATCTCAGATAGAGCTAGAAAGGCCTAAGTTCATTCTGCGAATATATAGCTCCGAAAGAATATAAAGGCTATTGAGTTCGCTCCCAGCGAAATAGGCTGGATGCAGCGCTCGCTTCCGCTCCTGCCAGCCTCTTCTACAAGAGCAAAGAGCTAAGTTCCCCATTCTCTTTCGCTAGTTCCTGAAGCAGCTCCCCTCTTTTCATCTTCCAGCAAGCTACAGAAGCTTAGCTTTATACAGAGTACAATATGAATTGAGATTGCAAGCTGAAGCAATATTATCATTGTTATCTCTGCCTCTTCTAGCTCTAATCAGAGCTTCTTCTTCGGTATTGCAAAGTATTAGAAGTTAGTTTTCTTCTTGTAATCGAAATCATAATCAGAATTAGAATCAGAATTGCTTATACAGATATATTCCTGCATTAATATAATAGTTAATTTGCTGTAAGATAGTTAGCTGCAATCTTTTAATAGCAAGAATGTTGTTTAATAAGCTATTTCGAAATCTATGTTGCAGATAAGTATTCAGGAAGAGCTACTATTGAGATCTCTTAGTATAGGAAGCAATATTTCGATAGCTAGCTAGTCTTTATAAAGCTTAGCAGGAAGGCAAGGCATACGCTCTCTCTTTCTTATACTAGCAACAACTTTATTTCAATAGCTAATGCTAGCTTATGAAGCTGATTTCAAAGGCTGGCAAGCTGTGCTAAATAAGCCTTCTTAGAGATCAGAATAGAGTTCAGAGCAGGATGTAAGAGCGCTAAGAATAAAGAAGCATAAAGCGAGTAAGAGAATAGGAGTATGAGAGTGATGATTAGAGAAGACTGAAGGTAGCAGATATAGGTATTGCGCTGGTTTTTTTGAGCTTTTAGCTTCTTGATTTATATTTATAGCAAACAGAAATCGCTATCTCTATGCGCTAAGCTCTAATCACTAGTTTATTAACTGATTTCTACTTTTCTCTTGTTTGCTGGTTTATAGCTTCTATTATCTTGAGAAAAAC